CTTTTGATACATTTTGGCATAGCCGTAGACAGGGCACATAGCTACGCTACTTTAGATTTTTGATTTTCGGCAAATCTTCGCAGATATTAGGCGCCAAATTTCGAAAATTTAAATTTTTACAAAAAACTTTTTGATTTATGAATATTTGTTAGTTGTGTTTTACACAAAATTAACGAGTCATCTGACTTGAGCAAAAAAATTTTTTGTCTCAGTAATTTTCCTTGCAGCCATTGGCTAATTCAGTTTTTCAGTCCTAGATTAATTATTTATTGTTCGATATGCTCGGTTGTCTCAATTGCCATTTTTATACGCCCACATTTTCATGTGGATGTATATTGTCGTCGCCCCTGTCTGGCCGTCCGTCCACAATTTGTTTGTGGAGACTCTACAGGTCACAATTCTTATCCGATTTTGACGAAACTTGAAATATATTGGCATGTATTGGATCGAAACTTCATGGATTATGGCCCCTGTTTGTACGAAAAATCACGATTTTAGCTTGTGGACAGATTTTGTTGAAACTTGAAATGTAAGTTTATAACCCAAAGATCTTGGTTCCTTTCGATATTTGCGCATATCGGACAGTAACTTCCTGAATTATGGCCCCTGATTGTACGAAAAATCGCGTTTTTAGCTTGTGGACCCTATTGAGGTCATAATTTTTATCCAATTAAAAAAAACGTATTATTATATCAACGTTACACCCTAAGGATGGCTGAGTTCGAATTTCGTGTAAATCGGCCCAAAATTGACAGACAAAATGGCCACCGTTCGTTCTCAAATAGCGTAAAAATATGGTAAATCAAGGTTGTGGACCCTATAGAGGTCACAATTTTTATCCAATTTTGATGAAACTTGTGGACCCTATAGAAGTCATAATTTTTATCCGATTTAAAAAAAAGTATTATTATATCACCGTTACACCCTAAGGACAGCTGAGTTCAATTTTCGTAAAAATCGGTCCAAAATTGACAGACAAAATGGCCGCCGTTCGTTCTCAAATGGACACAGATCACCAAATATTCCTACGCCGTCACCCACGAAACAAGGGCCAAAGCTATTTTTAGTCTTCCTCTCCCTTTTCCTTTTTCCCCCTTTTGCATGGCGATTTTTGTTGACTTTTTGGTGTAGAATTGAGGAAAAGGGTTTGAAAATACATTTTCTGCCAGGTTTTGGTGAATATTCATAATTTTGATGCGGAAGGATACAAGAGTTGAGAGGTTGGTTACGTTGAAATGTAGGGCCTGAAATTGCATGTTTACTTGTCTCTACTTCCAGCTTGTGTATCTCAAGTTTTTCATGAAGAACCTCATACGTGCTTTTGGGCAAGTGGTGGCCACATGTTGCTCCATCTGTGGTAGAAAGCGTTCTACCCAACGAAAATTTGGGAAAATGTTAGAGCCGGTCTAAGATACGAGAATTAACATTGGAGTCAATGGGGCAATCTTTAGTGATCTGTGTCCTGTCTGTGTGTGATAAGGCTGTCACTGATATGCCTTAGTTTTGAAAATATGAAGATTAAATTCTCAGAAAATATGAATAAAATAGTTTGGCTACAGAAAAACTAAAAAAAGTTAATGAAAAAAAAAAAAATAAAAGTTTTGAAGAAAAATTGTAATTTTACTGCAAATTTCTCAATTTTCAATTTTTATTGAATTTTTAACAGTAAGTAAAATATTCTAATGCCCAATGTTGGCTTATTCAGTCTCAGAAAGCACAGATAAAGTGAACAGTATTGAAATTTCACCAAATTTTGTCTAAAAATCAGGAATATTCACAAAAAATCTTGAGATTCCCCCCATTTGGATGTAGAAATTAATATTTTCATGACTACTAAAATGAGTCAAAATGTCTAAAAATGCCCATATTTTCTTTGCTAATATAACTTAGATGGGATCTACATGTTTGTCAGGTTTAGAAATAGCTCCAGCTTTCCTACAGAAAATTTAAAATTGGTAACACTGAGTTAATAATGTACAGCAGATGGGTTTGTACAAAATGTTCAAAACAGGGGTTGGCTCAATTTTGCCACTATTTTACCCAGAATAAGCATTTTTTTCTCCTTTGAAACATTAAATTCTTGCATTTCCTTCATGTAGGAAGCAATATCCCAGCCTTTCTAGACATTTTTTACTCCATCATTCTGTTTAGAGAGGCAATAAATGCCCCACCCCACCCTTTTCTATTAATGTGTTTTGAGGGATTTAAATGCACCTGTATTGACATGAAAATGATCTTAATTGGAATTTGTGGTTGAATTACAGCTAAGAATGTTATTTTTCACCCAAAAATATTTTTTTTGTGCATTTCAAGGATTTCTAACCCTTATTTGTTCAGAGTCAAACGTAGAACCCTGAGGCATTTCAGGCCAATGAGACCAGACCCAGATATAAAACTGGTGTAGATGTGTAAATGTCAGTTTAATGTTCAATATTTTCTTATCAAAATCCAGCATTTGTGGTGTTTGCTGCATTTATGTTGCCTATAAAACAATAAAATGTTAATTTTTCTCCTTTTCAGGCCTCTTTTTATGTTGTCAAGTCTGTCATGGCTACTTTTTTGACTTCATTTTTTCAGGAAATTAATGTAAAGTTCCAGACATCTTGCTTCAGCACAAGGATTGCAATACAAATTTGTAACATGCCTCTGAGGTTTGAGATGTTGGAAACATTGAAATATTCCCAAATTTGTGAAAATTGTGTATTCTGTGACCCTTCTGTTAGAGAGGGGTGATCATAGACCAAATATGGCATTTTTTTCATTCATCAAGGCCTATTTTTAACCATAATTCATATTTATTGCACCTATTTTAGTTTATATGTGCATATGTTAGCCAGGGATGGTAAAACATAGCTGTTAGACAGATTCCTTTGGTAATGTAAGTTCTGCAACCATAGATTAGATTAATTCAATCAGTGGCATGTTCAGGGGGTAGGCATACATGTTTCAGTATAGATCTCTAATATTACAATCATTGCAACTGGTTTGCATTTTTTCTGTTTGCATATTGTCCACAGATTCTAAAAATATATTTCTTGTCCGTCCGGATATTTAAAAAAGTGGAAAATTATTGGTATTTTGAGAGATGCTACATGTAAATTTTGTACATTTTTCATCACATGGCAGTAAAAAATTATATTTTTGAAAAAAATTCCAAATTATGAGTGTTTTCTATGTAGTTTCTTTGTAACTTGTCTAATTTTTTCACAGAACTCAGATACTGCCTTTAATAAGAAAGATTTTTAAATTTTAGCACAAAAGGCCTATGGACCTGAGATGCACCAGTGTACATAAAGCAGCATGTGTACTTAAAGGGCCATCATTTTTACAGTTATTCTTTGATTTTGATTTTCTTTCACCGGCATGTTGCCAGAACACATGGGAAGGAAATAAAAAAGGCCTTTTGGTGATACCTGAAGTTTCACCCCTATATAGGACACAGATCACCAAATATTCCTACGCCGTCACCCACGAAACAAGGGCCAAAGCTATTTTTAGTCTTCCTCTCCCTTTTCCTTTTTCCCCCTTTTGCATGGCGATTTTTGTTGACTTTTTGGTGTAGAATCGAGGAAAAGGGTTTGAAAATACATTTTCTGCCAGGTTTTGGTGAATATTCATAATTTTGATGCGGAAGGATACAAGAGTTGAGAGGTTGGTTACGTTGAAATGTAGGGCCTGAAATTGCATGTTTACTTGTCTCTACTTCCAGCTTGTGTATCTCAAGTTTTTCATGAAGAACCTCATACGTGCTTTTGGGCAAGTGGTGGCCACATGTTGCTCCATCTGTGGTAGAAAGCGTTCTACCCAACGAAAATTTGGGAAAAAGTTAGAGCCGGTCTAAGATACGAGAATTAACATTGGAGTCAATGGGGCAATCTTTAGTAATCTGTGTCCAAATAGCGAAAAAATATGGTATATCAAGGTTGTGTGGACCCTAATAGAGGTCACAATTTTTATCCAATTTTCTTGAAACTTGAAATGTAAGTTTATAACCCAAAGATCTCGGTTCCTTTCGATATTTGCACATATCGAATTGTAATTTCCTCAATTATGGCCCTTGATTGTAGGAAAAATCACTTTCTTTTTACCTTGTTCTCTATCCATCTCTTAAAAATGTGGGCGTATCCTGTCTGGCAGCCGCTGGTTATCTGATTTTGTTGAAACTTGAAATGTAAGTTTATAACCCAAATATCACGGTTCCTTTCGATATTCGCGCATATCGGACTATAACTTCATGAATTAAGGCCCCTGATTGTACGAAAAATCGCGTTGTTAGCTTGTGGACCCTTATAATGGTCATAATTTTTATCTGATTTAAAAAAAACGTATTTTTATATCGCCATTAAACCCTAAGGACGGCTGAGTTCGAATTTCGTGAAAATCGGTCCAAAACTGACAGAGAAAATGGCCGCCGTTCTTTCTCAAATAGCGTAAAAATATGGTATATCAATGTTGTGGACCCTATAGAGGTCACAATTTTTATCCTATTTTGTTGAAACTTGAAATGTAAGTTAATAACCCAAAGATCTCGGTTCCTTTCAAAATTTGCGCATTTCGAATTGTAATTCCCTGAATTATGGCCCTTGATTGTAGGAAAAATCACTTTCTTTTTAGCTTGTTCTCTATCCATCCCTCGAAAATGAGGGCGTATCCTGCCTGGCAGCCGCTGGTTCAGATAAGTCTATTATTGGTAAACCTGTCCCTTATTTTCAATAAATAATGGACAGTTTTATAAATAATAGACGATTGTTTAAGAAAAGTGTACATTCTCCTATATACTGGTTAAAAACATCAAAGGGTGACGTCATATCTATGTTTTATCTTTTGATAACATAAATGTAAACTATTTGTGTGATTAGTATTTCTGTTTAAAAAACATCATTTTTAGGGCTTTCATAGAGTGATACACAAAGTTACATTTGCAGCAACCCCCTATCCAGATATGTTAATTGACCAATGTTTTCTAATTTGAATAACTTTATTCCTGATTTCTATTTAAGAATCAAGATCATTATATAGTACTTGGTTTGGAGAAACTCAGATACAAAGCAACAGAAGATCAGATTAAGAAAGCCTGTATGTATATTTGTATGATAAACTATCCATGTAAAATGTAATTAGAACAAAACTGTAACTATTCCTGAGTAATAATTTTACTTGAAGGTTATTATTAGCATTACCAAATGTGGTGACACCAAATTGAATGACAATGTTATTTTGGCAAAAAGTTGTCTGAAGACACTGCCTAAAGCTAAGGCTGGGAATCGATATGAAATTTCAATATCGATTATCGGCAAGAATTTGTCAGCGATTATCGATAATAATCGATTATCATTCTTCCGGAAAAACCGAACTTTTACCGACCTGTTATTTGTGTTGATCGAGTTACAGTAGTGTTATTATCCTAGTTTAATACTGTGCCGATGTACGTAAAAAAAATCAATTAATGTAAAATAATTAGTTGCTAAATGTAGGATTAACTTGAGTATTATTCTAAGTTTTGTTCTTGATTCATTTGAACCTTTTTTTTTATTCCAATATCTCCGATAAATACAAAGACAATACATGGTTTCTCTTTGCAAGTTACTGGCGATCACACAGTGTTACTAATAATAGAATAAAATTTAATAGAAGGCGTCTATTGATTGGACAATAAAAAAATAATTACTGGCTTTCAAAGTAGAATTTTTATGATTGGTTAATTTTGACGAAAACCAAAGTAGAATTCTTCCAAGAAATTCTTCAGTCATGTGACCGTAACTTGCCGTCAGAAGGTAAATATACCGATAATCGATATTTGGATTTCAATATCGATTATCGTATTGCTAAATAACTTCTACCGATTATATCGATATTTTTGAACAGCCTTACCTAAAGCTACCTCAAATGATAATGAAATAATCTAAATTTTGCATACTGTATTAACAATAGAATTAACTTTTTAATGATACCAAACATGTCAACTTTATTTTTATTGATGACACGGAATACCCTTGGGAAGTTGAGCCGTTTTGTATAGTGAAAATACCACGACATCAAAATGCGTACCGTCTTTCAGTTGAGAAGTCACCTAAAAATAGCTCAGGTTTTCTCATTTTACGTCAGAATGAGATCATATTGGGCAGCCAATCAGACGAGGATTCCCGCAAGACAACGCAACTCCTTTTCTGGAAATTGATTCTATAGCAGACGACACATTGAAGAGTCAAAGATTGCAAAGCGAAATTTTACACAGTTTTGGTGCTGCGGCTCGTAATTTTTTTGAAGAGGTATGTATTTTATAATATCTACTAAATTTATATACATTGAATTAATTAATAAAAAAACTATTAGTCAGTATAAAACGCGATCTAAATAGACCGATGAGCGTCAAAACGCAATATATACCCATCATTAAATACATCATTAAAACAACAATTAAATTATCTATAAGTAGAAATTGGTAAAGTTTTATAAAATTGTTGATGGTTGTAGAACGAACGAGTTGAAGATGTGTTTACAGCAAAAGAAATAACATCGATTCAATAACGTCAAATGCGTTGTTGTTACTTATGTTGTTATTGAACTTATTGTTTGTTTACATATTATTTGCTTTCATTTTCTGCAAATATTTGTAACTGTAACCGATATTGTAACTTTTAAGTAAAACATTGATGATCATGGAAGAAGGAACTTAAAAAAATTATATACTGAGCGCCATGGAAAACGCATCACTTTTTTTTCCCAAATATTTTATTACTAGGTGGTTTTGTATGTATAATATTATGCAATACTATGAACTATTGTTTCACACAATGCTCCCAAATGCAAAAAATATCGGCCCGTGTGGACAAAAAAAAATTTGCACGAGATGCACATGAAAAACCCAATATTCACGTGCAGCATTGTGTGTGAAACCTTTAAAAGCATGTTTTCAACTAAATGTGCAGTACATGAACTGTGAAACGTCAATCTGTCGTAATTTGTTGTTGGACGTGTGAAGGAATCGAGCTAGAGATGCCGAGACTTACTGAAAATCAACGGAATGAAGCCATGGGAATGTCCAGGGCTGGCATGTCTACACGTGCTATTGCCAGACACTTCAATTGTCATCAGTCCACTATTGTAAGGTTGGTGGAACGTATTCGAGTTACTGGATCAACACGTGACCGTCAACGTCCTGGTCCACAACGTGTACAACCCAGGCTCAAGACCGCTACATCCGAATCCCTCATCTGCGTGACAGATTCCGCCCAGCGACTCGAACAGGTGTAACAGTCGTCGGAAGACAAGGACCAGTAAGTGGCAACACCGTAAGACGTCGTCTAAGCGAAGTAGGACTCCGTGCACGACGACCTTATGTTGGAGCTATCCTCAGGGATCATCACCTTCAGCGGCGTTTGATATGGGCTCAAGGACACCAGACATGGAGAAGAGTAGACTGGCAAAGTGTGCCCTTCAGTGATGAGAGTCGCTTTCATCTTTATCACGCTGATGTCCGTCAATGTGTGTGGAGACTTCTTGGGGAACGTCTTGCAGACTGCTGCGTCTTCGAAACGAATCGATAGGGTGGGGGAAGTGTAATGGTGTGGGAAGGCTTCACTTTTCATCACCGGACCGCCCTACACATTTGCAGGGGTCGTGTTAATGCTGTAGCCTACCGTGATGATGTCTTGCAACCAATTGTTGTTCCGATGTTTCGAGCGCACCCACAACTTCAGCACTTCCAACAAGATAATGCACGTCCGCATACCGCCCGTTTTGGTATGGACTACCTGGCTGCTAACAACATCAATGTCTTGGACTGGCCAGCCATGTCACTGGACCTGGCACCGATAGAACATGTCAGGGATGATATTGGACGCCGTCTGTATTGGAGACCACAGATGCACACCATTGCTGCTTTAGAAGCTGCTCTTGTCCAAGAATGGAACAATTTGCCCCAGGCCTTCTTTCAAACATTGGTAAATTCCATGCGATGTCGCTGCACAGCGTGCGTAAGAGCCCGTGGAGGACACACGCGTTACTGACATCTGTGTCGTACTTTTGGTTTTGACCCCTCTGACTTTGTACCGTTGATTACAGATTAAACATCCATAAGTGTACAGATGTGTTGTTATTGATGTGTTCCCATTTGAATATTGTTCACAATAAGAAGGAAAATAAATAAGATATGTTTACAGGATCATTTTGTTATACGAAAAACTAAGTGATGCGTTTTCCATGGCTCTCAGTATATTATCAAAAACTTGCAAATGTAGTTTATTATGTACGCGACCTTAGGCCACTTGGGCTTAGGCCTATCTTATAAAACTAATTTTAAAAATTTTTCTCATGAACTAGGCCTAGCCTTCATTTAACAGAAAATTATCTTACTAGTTAGATAATAAATTCTACTAAAATATATAATTATTTAACTAAGTTAATCAATACTTTTCCTTTTCTTTACACAGATGGTGAAATTAAAAAGGAAAAAACCCAAAGATTACATAGGAAGTTTTGCTGATGCTGTTTGCATTACTTTATTAAATTTAGAAAGTTGTGAGTTTCCTGCAGTTCTGGATCTAACTAATGGTATGGTTTTAGACCTGTATAGAGAGGTTTGTGAGAAGGAAAGGATAAAAAAAGTCATATAACTTACAACTTTGGACTGGTTGGATAAAAAACGTTAGCCAAAGTGAAATTCAGAAGTTTTTTGAAGCGAGATAATTTGAGACGTAGATGAAAAGATGCAGAAAGGATCAACTTAGATAACTCTAAATTTTGTTTCTCTTCATTAAATTTGGTAACTGAAGATATTGGTACTGGTGCAGAGGAAAATACTTTTTCTATAGTCAATAACTTAGATAGTGAAATTACAAAAAAGAAGAAATACATATCAAGACTTAATAACAAATCTGCAAAATTGAAGAAATCTTTTATCCACCTGAAAATCAAGTATAGACCAAGAAATGTAAATGACAGGGAAGAAAGAAAAAATGACAAACTCAAGAAACTCAAAAAACAAGTATTGAATTTACAAAAAGAAAAAAGATCTTTACAAGTAAATAACAGAAAATTACATTAACAAACCAAATGCGTATTTTGGAAGAGAAAATACAAAAGAGTTCAATCAAACGAATGTCAAGAGAAGAGGTTAAACAAGCTCGAACAAGAAATCACATCAATCAACACCCGTTATGCTTTGGAGGAGAGTGAAGTACATGTACCTCCATGTACATTGACTGAACAGGGGATATTTTCAGATGATTCCTGACGATGCATTCTTGAGCTCTTGTCATATGAAGTGGCTACAGATAAAATTTGCGGAGTTATTGAAAGTGTCTTGAAACATATTGTCCACAGACCAATAGAAAAAAGTAATTTACCTCAAAGACAAACTGTTCTTAATGTTTCTGATGAAGGCCAGTACTTGGTGAAAAAGATGTATGCTGATTTAATAAATTCATCTGAACATTTTGGTATTCACAAAGATGGAACATCGAGAAAAGAAAAAAAGATTTTGGGAAACTCACTTACACTGTCAAATTCAGATGTGCTGCCCCTGGGCTTTCGACATGTTGCCACTGAAACTGCTCGAATTATAACAAGCACCACTCAAACAGAATTATTGGAAGTTGCATCATGTGGACAGACTGTTGTGACGGATATTGTAAGAAAGCTCTCTTATGTTATGTCTGACAGGGCTGCCAATGAAAAGTTGTCTAATTACCAAATTACAGAGTGGAAAGGTGACTTGTTAAAGGCTCAATACCACTCTTGTTGTAACTGAATAATATGTCCCAATCTTTATTCTGGTCAACAAATTGTACTATTTTAAAATATACAAATTAATTGATGATACAGATTTCATCTTAACACACCTAATTTAAAAAAATTGGAAAAATTCAACTAAATGATTTGAAAAGCCTGATGTACACAGGGCTGTCGGTAATTTTTCACAGATGATTAGCAGCACTGCTAATCAAAAAGTCCAATTTTGCCAAATTTGATTAGCAAATTTAAAAATTGATTAGCAGTTTTTCAGTTTCAACATAAAACACCTAAATAACAAGATTATTTTAATTTTAATTGATAACAAATGATTAGATTTCATT